GAGTTATGGTTTAATAAAGAAAAATTTTCTACAACAAAGCATGGGAAAGAACTGGTGTAGGAAAAGAAAACCAATCAAGCATTCTTCAGTGACGTAAGGACAGCCTTCGAATTTTCTATCCCACTGGGCTACAGAATGTGGGAAAATTTGTCTCCTTACTTGCTCCTGGCACCATCACCTTCATACAGGTTACTTCGGAAACTGCCTCACTCAGAGGTGGATGAAGTAGTGACTTGGTGGTAACATCTTTCCTCTGAAGTCAGCAGAGGGGGGACACTGGAATGAAGTTTTGCCCATAGACCCCGCCCACACAACTCTTCTCCATGAGTATGTTCTGGTGAACGAGGTGTAACGTATTGCTAAAGCATCTCACATTCTCCCTGCCCACCTAATGCTTCTCCCACCAAAAAAAAACAAAAAACCAAAACCCAAAAGCTGTTGAGGTACAGTGAAGTGTGCCTTCTTCCCACATCAGACCCATTCCCCCTGCACAGAGCTTCTAGCTGTGTTCTCTGATGGGAGGAGTGGTTTATGGTAAAGCCTTGGCCGCATTCACCGCAAATATCTGACTCCTCTCCAGTGAGTCTGAAGGCGAGTGAGGCTTTGCTTCTAGCTGAAGCCTCCCCCTCACTCCTTGCACATGTGGAGGACAACTTCTGGCTAACGAGGCGCATATGGTCTCTCATGTGATGAGCTTTGATGTGTATTTAAAACCTCACCCACATACGGTTTCTAAGTCCAACGTGTTACCTGACGCTGAAGGAGGTCTGACTTCTGACCAAAACCTTGCCCACACGCTCTGTACATTTGTTGGTGTTAGGTGCTGGCAAGTCAGTTCCAACTCACAGCAACCTAATGTACAACACAACAAAACACTGCTTGGTCCTGCGCCAGCCTCACAATGAGTGTTGTGTTCCGGCCCATTATTGTTGTCACTGTGCCAAATGAGGGGGCCCCAAAAAGTTTGTGGACAAATGGAATTAAAAAATAACTGAATTTTTCCACGAACTTTTTGAAGCCCCCTCGTATGGGTGTGTCTCCTCTGAGTGTGTCCTCTGGTGCATAAGGAGATGTGATTTCCGGTTAAAGCCTTGGTCACACTCATTGCAAACATACGGCTTCTCTCTTGAGTGTATTTCTTGATGCATAAGGAGACTTGACTTCCGGGTAAAGCCCCGCCCACACTCCTTGCACACATAAGGTTTCTCCCCTGAGTGTGTCCTCTGGTGAGTGATGAGAGTTGACTTGTGGCTAAAGCCTCGGCCACACTCCTTGCACACATGTGGCCTCTCCCCCGAGTGTGTCCCCTGGTGAACAATGAGGCCAGCCTTCTGGCGAAATCCTCGCCCGCACTCCAGACACAGGTAAGGTTTCTCCCCTGAGTGTGTCCTCTGGTGTGTGATGAGATTTGACTTTTGGCTAAAGCCTCGGCCACACTCTGTGCACACATGTGGCTTTTTCCCTGAGTGTGTCACCTGGTGGAGAAGAAGGCCAGCCTTCTGGCTGAAGCTCCTCCCACACTCCAGACACAGGTAAGGTTTCTCCCCTGAGTGTGTCCTCTGGTGAGTGATGAGATTGGACTTTTGGCTAAAGCCTCGCCCACACTCCATGCACACATGGGACTTCTCCCGGAGGAGGGGCCTCTGGTTTGTGATAAAGTTTGACTTCAGGCCACAGTCTGGTCCATTCTCTCCAGAGCTGACTGCTCTGAATCTTGAGCTTCCTGATTCCTTCAGCCCTCGGTCTGCTTCCACAGAGTTCACCCTCTGGGCTGAGCTGTGCTCTATTCCTGCCCCTGGGTGGCCATCTCTAGGGCTTGCTGACTGTCTTCGGGCTGGGCTGGAGGACATCCTTGAAGTCTCTCTGTCCCCTGTCCTCCAACACAAGGGTCTGGAGACATCTGTGTTCTTCCTGCGACAGCTCTGATGGGAATCCCACTGCTCTGGGCTGGACCCCTCTGGATGGAAGGGATGTTCTGCACACACGCCTGGGAAGATCTGCAGCACGTGTTGGCTGAGGAATTGCTGACAGGAGAAGGGCAGAAGGCAGGAGGGACCAGGGTAGGTTTCTGGCATTGGTTCTGCTGAAGAGAAAAGGTTTTCTGTTAGAGTAGCCGGGAGTGGGGCTGCCTGGGCTGGGCTGCCTTCTCTCGGACAGACACTAACTCACTGCTGGAGGCCCTGCAGGCACAGATCATTAAGCACTCTACTCCTAACGGAAAGGATGAGGCTTTCCAAGAGGCCTGGTGATCTGCCACCAGAATTTCAGAGTCTGGAAAACCTGAAAGAGCAGTTCACCTCTGCACACACGGGTCACTATGAGTTGGAATCCATTCAGTGGCACCTAATAGCAGTCTTACTGTCACACTTGTAACTGAAAATGTATGTAACACAATCCGCTCCTCACTACTCACTTATATTCCATTCCAAAAATTCCAATTTCTGTTACAATGCAAGGAATCCTGGTGTGGCGCTGTAGGATCAACACTGCACTGTGAACCACATGTCGGCAGTTCAAACTCACCAGCTGGTTCTCAGAAAACTTACATAGGTTGCTATGAGTCTGAAAGGAGCTCTGGTAGCGTAGTGGTTATGAATCAGGCTGCAACCCGCAAGGTCAGCAGTTTGAAACTACCAGCTGCTCCGCGGGAGAAAGATGAGGCTTTCTGGTCCCGTAAAGATTAACAGCCTCGGAAACCCTGTACAGGGTCGCTATGAGTCGGAACCGACTCAAGGGCACATAACAACAACATGAGTCTGAAGGGATTCCAAGACACTTAACTGTAACAACAACAAAATATAATACAAAAGGCATCCTGGTGGTACAGGGGTTAACGTGCTCACCTTTTAACCCAAAGGGCAAATTTAAACCTGCAGAAGAAAGATGTGGCAGTCTTTTTAAATAAAGATTCATAGACTTGGAAACCCTCCGGGACAGGGACACTTCGATAGCAGTGGGTTTGGGTGTTGTGATCCAGATAACCCACACCCAAATCTCTTTAATATGTCAGTCAGACCAGATATTTCTCAAGTAAATGTCATCAGACACAGCTTCTGTCTTTTCCTTCTCCCATAGCCTGTTACACTCTACGGCTGAGACCTACTTCAGGAGGGGAAGGATGCTGTGTCTCTTCTGTGTTACATGTGGGAACTCCAAGCTCATCCCAGTCCACAGTCCTGTAAAGGTGCTCATGTAAATCCGCTACAGTTCTAACCCTTACAAGTTAGGGTGTCATTTCACTAATGGTATTTTAGACTTAGAAGCCACTTTAGGGAATCTTGGTTACACTCTGCTCCTTGGTGTGACACTGTAGAAGCACTGCACCATACAGTGTTTGAATTGCAAGGCTGGAGGTTCAAACTCACTAGCCACTCCTCAGATATCCTAGGAGTTGGAATCGACCTGGTAGCACACACCCACCAAATCAACATTTCTTAATGTTTCTAAAGAACAACTGTGTTTATATGCATTAACCACCGTACAATGATCACAAAAGGAACATATCACGGCACCATACTGTTAGGTGCTGTGGAGTTAGTTTCAGCTCAAAGCAACCCCATGAGACAGTAAAGCTGCCAAGTAGGGTTCCCTAGTCTGTAATCTTTAGCGGAGCACATCACCAGGGTTTTCTCCCCAAACTGAATTCAAACTGCCAACCTTTTGGAAAGCAGCCAAGCACTTAACCAATGTGCCACGAGGACTCATTAATGACATAGTAAGCACTGTTATAGTTACACAGAACTTACTCAAATTTCATCATGTGTGTACGTGTGTCTAAGTCTGTTTGTTGGTCGATCTCCAATGCTAAAAACCCGAGTCTACTGTGACACCTCCAATGCCAACACAAATCCAGGCTATTGCCAAGCTTCCCCATTCCCTACCTACATACACTTTCTCCTACACTCCCAACACCAATCTCTGTTCATTTACTAGGTTTTAAAATTCAAAAAAAGTATTTGCAGACTAATTGACCTATATTCCTACCAAAAACAAATATATGAAACAGAGTCCAAGATTTATGTACACATGCATTTTTTCATTGGCAGACAAGGAGTTGAACAACTTTCTCTGTAAAGGACTAATAGTAAACACTAAACTTCGCAGACAACATGATCTGTCTCAATCACGGCTTTGCCATAAGAGAATGAAAGCAGCCATAAGAAATACATAAATGGTGGCTATGTTCTCAAGGACTTTATATACCAAAAAACAGATGGCAGGGCAGACTTGTAGTTTTCCAACTGCTTCTTTTGAGTAGATACATGGTCAAAGTTCTTTGTTCAATAGCTAATTGGGTTGTATTCTCCTGCACAGTCATTGTCTAAGAGAATCTTCAAATCAATTCCTTATTTTGTGCCTGCAAAAACCATGTGGGGACCGTATCTGACTTCCCCTGGCTTCACAAGGGGGAAAGAGAATCAAACTCGAAATTAGCACAAGGCCAACTCCTATGAAGAAGTCAGACATGCTTCCTCCCTACAACCTTCTCTACTCTCGTCTGACACCAGCCACCCCCTTCCACAGCACTCTCTGCTTCACATCTGGGGCGATAATCCATTGTAATGGCCACACAGAGCTCCTAACAATACTCACAATTATGGGATTTATTAGGGAAGTGAACAGGGTACAACTCAGGATAAAAAAAGTCAGGATGCAGCAGTTCTCCAGTCAGGAACACCTCTTCTCTGCCACACTGCAGACACGCCTCACTCTTGTCTTTGGCTTCTCAGACCTGTGGCCCCTTGACCTCTGGCCCAGTCCGTGGGCCTAGAGCCCGCAGCTGCTCTGTCTCTCCAGGTCACCGCCTCCGCCGTCAGCACTTTTCTAGGCAGGGAGCCCATGCTCCACTCATGCTCGTTCTTCGTGATGGACCTGGAATCTTCTGTTCCTGCTTCTGAGATGGTTCCTTTTAAACCGCAGCTGGATGACAAAACTGATATGAACCAAAACTAATATAACCAATCCCTGCCTTAGAGAACCTTATGTGCACACCTTCTGTACACGGTCCCACCCTATCACTTGGTGGGAATTAAGACATAGGATAGATAAGCCACATCCAGTAAATTCAAGGTACACCTCCCCTTTTCATCATGATCCTTCTGTAGAGATCTTTAATCCGAATTTTCAGTGATGGTAGGTGGGCCCCGTCCAGTTCTCTGGTGTCGTGGCATAGGAAGTAGTTGTTCACGGAGGCAACTGGGTGCACATTTCATCTCCTACTCGTATTCTTCCCACTCATCTTTCAGTTTGTCATACTGTGGTGGCTTGTGAGTTGCTGTGATTCTGGAAGCTAGGCCACGGGTATTTTGAGTATCAGCAGGGTCACCCATGCTCGACAGGTTTCAGATGTGCTTCCAGACGAAGACAGACTAGGAAGAAGGAGAGACGAACTACTTCCAAATATTCAGTCACTGAAAACCTTACGAATAGCAGAGAAACGCTGTCAGATACAGTGCCAGAAAATGAGCCCCTCAGGTTGGAAGGCATTCAAACTGCAGCTAGGGAAGGGCTGCCTCCTCAGAGTCGAGTTGACCGAGATGATACGAATGATTTTGTACAACATGTACTCTAAGGCTGTTTGTTTTACATGTTTAAATGGTTAGGGGAAAAGTCCAGAATATTTTGTAATATGTAGAAAATATAGAAAAATCACATTTCAGTGCACATGAAAAGGCTTTACTGAAACACCGCCACACCCATCTGCTTACCTGTTGTCCTGGACTGTTCTGCACTAGCAGAAGTGAGGGTGGGCAGAGACCATATGGCAACAAAATCAAAATAGGCACCATTTGGCTCTTTACAGAAAAAGTAGGCTAACCCCTGATCTAGAATGAAGCTGTAATTGAAAATATTTGTCACCCAGACTGATGAACTGTAAATATTTTTAATAATGAAAAAGGGAAAAATGGTATGAAATAAATTTAAAAAAAAACATAAAAAAATTTGGCATTTCATTTTAGCTTGTGTTGCAGAAGGCGTCTGACAGTAGCTCCCCTTTGCAAACTGTGCCCCTGGCATCACTGGTCTCCTTACAGTTGTTCCCACTAGGCAGGCACATGCCTTCCTTAAGGCCTCAGCACCCATGAAACACCCCTGTCCTGGTACCAGAGTTCTGACTCCCTCACCACGGTTATGTCTGTTGTCAAATGTCACCCCCCGCTGATTCCAAATCCCCATTTCAAAAATCCCACCAGCCAACCTGTCACACCCAGTATCCCTTTCTCCCACTCTATTTCACTAGATCGCACTTGTCACCTTTTAACATTCCATAATGCAGTATTTCTTATATAGAATTTACTGTTTGTTACCTGTCTCCTTATGCCCACGGGTAAGCCCAGTGAGGGCAGGGATTTCTAACTCCTATAGTCACTCATGTGTTCTGAGTGGCTAGAACATTATTTGACCTACAGTAAAGAATAAAAAGCGTCCCCAAGCCCCGATTAGCATCAAGTCCACTCCCGCTTATAGCCCCTTCATGTGTTACAGATTAGAACCGCTCCCCAGGCTTTGGCTCGGGTTTCTCTCTGTCTGCAGGGATTTCCTGGCTGCAAGTTTTGGGAGAAGCAGGTCCTTCTTCTGCAGGGTCCTTGGATGGGTTTGAGTTTGGCACAAACTGTTTGGCAAATTATTGTTGTTAATTGCCTTCGAGTTGGTTCAGACTTAAAGCGATCCCTCTATAGGATTTCCGAGGAGCGGCTGGTGAGCTTGAACTGCCGACCTTTTGGTTCAAAGGCTTGCAGTCCAGCGCATGAACCACAGCACCTCCCTGTTACCACTGAGTAGATTCTGGTGGTCAGTGACCCTGGAAGGCAGCGTGAATACCCCACAGGGCTGTAAATCTTTAGGACACCCAATTGCTTCATCTTTCTCCCACGGAAAGCCTGGTGGGTTCAAACCACTGATATTTTGGTTAACCGTCAAGTGCTTAATCATTGTGCTACTAGGGTCCCTTTGGCATGTGATGGCTGTGGTTGTGTGCTGCTGATTGGGTTCTGACGCATAGCGACCCTGTAAAGGGTTTCCAAGGCTGTAGATCTTTAAGGCAGCAGAAAGTCTCAGCTTTCTCTCACAGAAGCTGGTGGGTTCAAATTGCCGGCCTTTGTTTAACAGCCAAGTGCTTAACCACTGAGTCACCAGGGGCCCTCAGGCATGTAGCTAGGTGGCAATGCATATGGACTGAGTTAGTGAAGGAGGAGAAAAGAACACATCCTCACCCAACGAGAGCAGGTTCCTGTACGTCTCCAGCGTCACTTCCTTGTACAAGTTCTTCTGCTCCATGCTCAGTGTCACCCATTCTGCCTCCGTGAAGACCACAGTGACGTCCTCGAATGTCACTGGTGCCTAGACAAGCAAGACATCAAGACACACCCAGTCACCATCACTGTCCCAATGAGAGGAGTTAACTGGGGCCCTCAAGGGTCTGCGTCTGAAGACGTTCATCTCTTTCTTTTCAGAGAACACAGGTCTCCACAGCCAGCTCTTCTGGGCATGACTGCATACCTGGCTCTGTGACAAACCTGTGGGGGCACAAAGGATGCACCAAACATATCCTGGGCCTCAGACACATAACTTAATCGGAGAAATGATCTGTGGATCAATCAGGTTGCATTAAGCACTGTTCCAGACAGTGATTTGGCCTTTGAGAATTCATAATGGAAGAATTCAACGATGGAAGGTGCTATCCAATAACAAAGGGCATCAGGGAGGTGCGGCTTGTGTTCAGCATTAAGGAATGGTAGAGATTTAAAGGAGAAGATGGCAGAATACTTCAATTACACTGGAAAGGGGGAGTGAATAAATTGGGGTCTGGAATAAACATTTCTGAGTCCTGGTGTGGCACTGTGGGTTATTGTACTGGGACTGCAAAGTCAGTATGAACTGCAACTTCGGCAGCTGCTCCTCACAAACCCTACACGGGGTTGCTATGGGTTGGACCCAAATGGACGGCACTTAATGACAACAACATAGGTAACTAGACGGGATCTGTAAAATCTCTATGTTTATGGATTTTAACAAAATTTTCTATTTAAAGTGCTTAACACTTCACAAATCTATGAAAAAAAGTTGTCGACAGAATGGCAGCAATAGTCTATAAAAAGAACATTTAGAGGTAACATAATCTTTTAAAACAGTAAGCAAACCACACACTTTAACTAACTGCCCCTAACTGGATTCCAGCTCGTACAGACCTGACAGAGCACAGTAGCATCGCCTCCAGGTTTCAACGCAATCATTAAAGCAGCTGACACCCCATCTTTTATCTGTGGCTGATGAGTTGGCAGCAGAGCACTTCCTTACTGCTCATCCAAGGCTCCTACAAACACTATCACACCGCACACGGAAACCCACTGCACATCCCCAGAGGGCTTCCAAAGTGGTCATCGTTACATAAGCAGACTGCACAGCTTTCTCCCAAGGAGCCTCTGGCTGTGCGAACTACCCATCTTTAGGTGCGCTGCCAAGCACTTTAATCACTGTGCCACCAGGAGTACACAAACAGTGTTGTTGCTGTAAAGTGTCACCGAGTCGATTCTGACTCAAAGCAACCCCACATAGGGCTTCTGAGGAGTGGCTGGTGAACCATGGAGTCCAAACGGACCTTGTGGTACAGTGCTGATTCTACAGCACCACACCAACACATCCCTGAGGTATAATCTGAAGTTCATTTGCTTTATATGAAGTCTATACAAGAGCACTGGTGTGGCGCTGTGGGTTAATGAGCCAGACTGCAAAGCCATTTACACTGTAAGGTCGGTGGTTCAAGCTCACCAGCTGCTCCTCAGAAACCCTATACAGGGTCACTGTGGGTTGGAATTGACTCAACGGCATTTAACAACAACAACATACGTAGAACACAGTATGTAAGGAACTTGAACACGCTTTTGTTAGGTGCTGTCCAGTTGGTCCTAACGCACAGCAATGCTCCACATCACCGAATGAATCGCGGCCAGGCCCTGCACTGTCCCCATCACTGTTGCTGTGTTGGGCCCTCTGGTGAAGTCACTGGTAATCTGTTTTGTTGAGGATCTTCCTATCTTCCCTGACCCTCTACTTTACCAAGCATGATGTTCTTTTCCTGGGACTGGGCCCTACTGGTAACATGTCCAAAGTACACAAAGTATCACGAAGTTCTCATTTCTAAGGAGGATTCTCGCAGTACTTCCTTTTTTCACTGTTTTTTAAAACAAGAGTAATGAGTTAAGGTTAGAGGTAGGATGACGGCTAAGGGTATAGGCTAGGCCTGTTGTTGTCAGGTGCCATCGAGTCAGAACCGACTCATAGCAACCCCATGCACAGTAGAACGAAACAATGTCCGATCCTGGGCCTAGGCCTTTGCTTTTGTTAAGGTTAGGGTTAGGACTAGGGTTAGTGTTGGGTAAGGGTTAGGGTTAGGACTAGGATTAGTGTTGGGTAAGGGTTAGGGTTAGGACTAGGATTAGTGTTGGGTAAGGGTTAGGGTTAGGACTAGGGTTAGTGTTGGGTAAACGTTAGGGTTAGGACTAGGATTAGTG